GGGTGGCGTGTGTGGTTAAATTGGAAGCTGAGGGGTTGGCATGTACCCAGCGGCACCTTCTGGCATCCTGCTTTTGAACCATCAGTCGTGGAAAACCCCGTGGGGAGCCTTGTTCTACGCTGATGCCCCTGGGGCTCTTGAATCAACTCAGCGACCGCCGCAGCTGCCGTGTCTTGGCTCTTTCTTGTTTTCATTCTTGCCGCAGTGACAGCCGTGCACGACCACATGCTGTCAGTCTCTCGCTTTTCAGCCATGCTGTCCATCAGTCCTAATGAAAACCATTAACCGGAGGTTAAGACGAAGCTTCTGAACTTGACGGTTGGTTTGGTTTTTGTCACGGCTGCATAAGAGGAACTGGGCTGATTATGAAACCCGTGCTTCCTCTAAGCCACTGGCTCTGGCTGCCCCCAAGCCTGTCTTTTCTGCTGCAACAAGTTGCGAAAATGAGAGAAAAACAAAACCATCCTGGCCTTATTTTTAGCTTCCCTATTGTGTGAGTCTGGGTATTTTAGAGAGAGAAATCCACAGAAACTCATGTATAAGAGAGAGTTTTATATAAAGGTAAGTGCGCATCAAGAAAACATCCCAACCCAGTGCTGCCCAAGCCCACAAGTCCAACATTAGCCCATATGTCCAACACTGATCCACAAAGTCTCACAAAACACACACTATGATGCCGACTGCAGGAGGAAAGCTGAATCAGTGAATGTGTAAGCTTTCAGTGCTGACAGGGGTCTCCTCACGGTGCTCCAGCACCCAGGGCTGCATTGGGGTAGGTCCATGCGGCTTCTCCTTGGGGATGTCTTACAGGAAGTGAGCTTTTCCAGCTCAACCAGGGAACTGGCTAAGGCAGCTGCACCCTGGCCCGACCATCACAAAGCAAGAGAACCAAGAACTAGAAAGGCAAGGCTCACCGAGCCATTTATCTCTCTGCCCTTCAATTAACCCCACACGTGTTTATCAGCCAGGTTGGCAAAATAAACTCAAACTATCTCACCTATGATTGGGGGACTAACTGCTCCGGTCCTCCTGGTTTCTAATCATCGGTGCCCTGACTATTTAAAGAGGGAAAACGAGGAGACTGCTCCCCATCATGTGCGTTGGTGTTATTCCCACGGAGTTGAGCTTGGGGGTCCAGGCAAGGAAAGAGCAGATGGGCCCCGCCCTAACTGAGGGCTGCTCCTCCCACTACTTAGACTCAAAACACCAACCAGGGGGCATGAAATTGATTCTGACTCCTGGAGTCCCTGGGTGGCACAGAGGGTTAATGAGCTCGGCTGCTCACTAAAGGGCTGGCAGTCTCAGTTCACGAGAGGGCCTCGGAAAGGCCTGGCAATCTGTCAGCAAAAGCAGTCCCTGAATGCCCAGTGGAGCACGGTTCTACTCTGATCTACTGGGAGCTCCATAAGGCCTCACCACCCACCGCACCCCCAAAATCTACTGTCATAGAGTTGATTCTGGCTCACAACAACCCCCTAGGGCAGGGTAGAGCTGCTCCTGTGGGGTTGGGAGATTTCTCCTGTGGGGTTGGGAGGCTGTAAATCTGTATGGGAGTAGAAAACCTCCTCTTTCTTTCAAGGGACGACTGGTGGATCTAAACTGCTTACCTTATGCCAAGACTCACGAAAGCTCCACTCACTGCCATTGAGATCATGGCAGTTCATAGCGACCCTCTAGGCAGGTCAGAGCTGCCCCTGTTTCTGAGACTGGAACTCTTAGCGGAGAGTAGAAAGCCTCATCTCTCTCCCTTGGAGCCATTGGTGGTTTTGAACTGCGGACGTTGCGATGAGCAGCCCAATGCGTAACCCGCTAGGCCACCAGGGCTCAGCTCTTTCTAAGACCAGGCAGGTATCCATGCCTTGGAAACAGTTTCCATGGTACCTGTGCCACTTTGGGGGGAAATGGCATGAGTGGTTTACAAGTTGCACTTAAATCGTTAAAAACGATCTCTTTTTTGGCAAAATTTCCTTCGGCTCTAGCTGTGACAGCGGCAGCGGCGGTGGCGGCAGTGGGCTCCAACAGGACCCCAGGGGTGGGGAGGGTGCAGTTGCCTCCGGGTTTCGGTCTGGGGAACGTGCTACAGGCATCGAGCAGGGCTTGGCAAAGGATGAGCCAGCACCCTTTCTGCACGGCCCACATGCTATGCTGGGGTGTTAGAGTATGAGTCTCAAGGGGGAAAAAATTAGTATAAGAAAAAGAATATGTCATTTAATGTGGAGAGACTGTGACGTTCAAGCTTCGAAATTTATGGGAACTCCTTGTCTCTCTTAGAAGTACCTACCTACATTATATCATCCATTCTATCCCCTGGCCTGGAAAGCCCAATTTACTCTCTGGATCCTTTTGCTGAGAAGAGTTTGGTTAATAAAGGCTGAGATGCAGCACCAGTTAGACCCAAATTAAGGCCTGAGAGTTCCTGGTTACTTGACCTTGGGCAATTTTTTAACCTTCCTAAGCCTCCATTTCCT